AGTGTGTTGAAACAAAATGGCTATTTTTGTAGTGATTTTATAACATACTTATGTTATAATTTTTTTTATAAACAATAATTATATATATATATATATATATATATATATATATTCAAGTATATAATTGGTATATACGGAATGAATTCCAATAACCAACAATTAATTCTTAAAAGATTTTTTTTTCAACATCATCCTATAACTATTCTTAAAAACATTTTTTTTTCAAGTGATTTTATAACACTTGATAATTTTTTTATAAACAATGTTATATGGAAATATAAATATATATATATTTTTGGTATATGCAAGTGATTTAATAACCAACAATTACTTATTTTTTTTTCATCACTTGATAAGTTATAATTTTTTATTTTAAACAATAATTTTTTATATATATATATATATATATATATATATATATATATATTCAAGTATATAATTGGTATATACGGAATGAATTCCAATTAACCAACAATTACTATTCTTAAAAGATTTTTTTTTTTCAACATCATCACTTGATAAGACACAGAGTGTGTTGAAACAAAATGGCTATTTTTGTAGTGATTTTTATAACATACTTATGTTATAATTTTTTTATAAACAATAATTATATATATATATATATATATATATATATATATATTCATAAATATATAATTGGTATATACGGAATGAATTCCAATAACCAACAATTACTATTCTTAAAAGATTTTTTTTTTCAACATCATCACTTGATAAGACACGGAGTGTGTTGAAACAAAATAGCTATTTTGTAGTGATTTTATAACATACTTATGTTATAATTTTTTTTTATAAATAATTATATATATATATATATATATATATATATATATTCAAGTATATAATTGGTATATACGGAATGAATTCCAATAACCAACAATTACTATTCTTAAAAGATTTTTTTTCAACATCATCACTTGATAAGACACAGAGTGTGTTGAAACAAAAAATGGCTATTTTGTAGTGATTTTATAACATACTTATGTTATAATTTTTTTTTAAAAATAATAATTATATATATATATATATATATATATATATATATATATATATTAAGTATATAATTGGTATATACGGAATGAATTCCAATAACCAACAATTACTATTCTTAAAAGATTTTTTTCAACATCATCACTTGATAAGACACGGAGTGTGTTGAAACAAAATGGCTATTTTGTAGTGATTTTATAACATACTTATGTTATAATTTTTTTATAAACAATAATTATATATATATATATATATATATATATATATATATATATTCAAGTATATAATTGGTATATACGGAATGAATTCCAATAACCAACAATTACTATTCTTAAAAGATTTTTTTTTTTCAACATCATCACTTGATAAGACACAGAGTGTGTTGAAACAAAATGGCTATTTTGTAGTGATTTTATAACATACTTATGTTATAATTTTTTTTATAAACAATAATTATATATATATATATATATATATATATATTCAAGTATATAATTGGTATACGGAATGAATTCCAATAACCAAATAATTACTATTCTTAAAAGATTTTTTTTTCAACATCATCACTTGATAAGACACGGAGTGTGTTGAAACAAAATGGCTATTTTTGTAGTGATTTTATAACATACTTATGTTATAATTTTTTTATAAACAAATTATATATATATATATATATATATATATATATATATATATATTCAAGTATATAATTGGTATATACGGAATGAATTCCAATAACCAACAATTACTATTCTTAAAGATTTTTTTTTCAACATCATCACTTGATAAGACACGGAGTGTGTTGAAACAAAATGGCTATTTTTAGAAGTGATTTTATAACATACTTATGTTATAATTTTTTTATAAACAATAATTATATATATATATATATATATATATATATATATTCAAGTATATAATTGGTATATACGGAATGAATTCCAATAACCAACAATTACTATTCTTAAAAGATTTTTTTTTTCAACATCATCACTTGATAAGACACGGAGTGTGTTGAAACAAAATGGCTATTTTTGTAGTGATTTTATAACATACTTATGTTATAATTTTTTATAAACAATAATATATATATATATATATATATATATATATATATATATATATATATATTCAAGTATATAATTGGTATATACAGAAACAAATGGAATTCAATTAACCAAATTTTTATAAACACACTTATTTCTTAAAAGATTTTTTTCAACATCATCCTTGATAAGACACAAGACACGTGTGTTGGAAACAAAAATGGCTATTTTGTAGTGATTTTATAACATACTTATGTTATAATTTTTTTATAAACAATAATTATATATATATATATATATATATATATATATATATATTCAAGTATATAATTGGTATATACGGAATGAATTCCAATAACCAACAATTACTATTCTTAAAAGATTTTTTTTTTCAACATCATCACTTGATAAGACACGGAGTGTGTTGAAACAAAATGGCTATTTTAGAAAAGATTAGTACTTATGTTATTTTTTATAACATACTTATGTTATAATTTTTTTAAAACAATAATTATTCTTAATATATATATATATATATATATATATATATATATATATATATATTCATATATAATTGGTATATACGGAATGAATCTAATAACCAACAATTACTATTCTTAAAAGATTTTTTTCAACATCATCTTTGATAAGACACGGAGTGTGTTGAAACAAAATGGCTTTTTTTGTAGTGATTTATAACATACTTATGTTATAATTTTTTTATAAAATAATTATATATATATATATATATATATATATATATATATATATATTCAAATATAATTGGTATATACGGAATGAATTCCAATAACCAACAATTACTATTCTTAAAAGATTTTTTTTTTCAACATCATCACTTGATAAGACACGGAGTGTGTTGAAACAAAATGGCTATTTTTGTAGTGATTTTATAACATACTTATGTTATAATTTTTTTTTAAACAATAATTATATATATATATATATATATATATATATATATATATATATATATATATATATATATGATAAAATAAAATTGATAGCTATTAACATTAGCTAATAAAATATGCAAAATTATAGAAATTATCGTATATTAAATATAATACACTGGATAAGTATTGAACGTTTTATCTTTTATTTCAATAACACACACAGACACACACACACGCACACACACACACACTCTCTCTCTCTCTCACACACACACACACACATATGTGTGTGTGTATGTGTGCTTGTGCGTTTGTATGTGTGTGTATGTATGTGGTACAGTCAAATCTACTTTCAAATACAGGTCAATAAATTATAAAAATTATAGATATCCTCCGTCAGCAATTCTTGCATTTATTCATGCCCTCTGCAAATCTATTTTTCCTGGTTTTTCAATGCATTTTTATACTAAAATTCTTTCCAATAAATAATTAATTCTTAAGTCGTTCCGTAAACGTATAAAAGGTGATGAAAAATGGGTTCCATAAGACGTTCAACGCCTGTGGCAGTCGATTGACAAGAATAAATCTCCCTAACCGATTCAAAGCCTTTCATTATCCATATATACATTATCCAACGAACTGTCACGTTCTTTCTTAGAACTTTGTCATTCCATTTTGCCTGATTCTCACTGTATTCTTATGGTCAGATTATTTTTAGTACATACAGCTTGAGATCCGTTAACTTATTCTAACAAATCACAGCTAACCATTTCTTTATTTAGTCACTAATCCACTAGTTTACTTATTAATATTTTAACCCATATCCTGTTTGCTTTAGTTTAAACAAACACATTCTTTTTTCCTATATATTTAACCAAAAATTATAGTTTTAGAAGATGAAAAATTTCACTGAAATATGTAGGAAATTTCATCCGGCACCATTACAAAGTAAATCTTAAACAAAAACGGTCAAAAAGATATGCAGATAAGAGCGTCAGTTTAAACTTACGTCAGGGGGATATGTGCCTAAAACCGACATTTAAAAGTGGCATAGGTGTAGAAACGATGATTCTTTAGTAAAACATAAGTCTTTTTAATACAGAATAGAGTAAACAGCATTTATTCAAAATAAACATGTTATAACATCATTACAAAAATAGCCATTTTGTTTCAACACTTCTGGTGTCTTATCAAGTGATGGTGTTGATTGCAAAATAAAAACTCTTTATTTTGCAATCAACACCATCACTTCATAATAACATGCATATGTTATAATTTTGAATATATATATATATATATATATATATATATATATATTTTGTGTGTATTTAGGCCTCATCTTTTCATTCATACACGTTTCATACTTCTACAATTCACTCTCGCGTGGTCATGTGTGACGTCATGAGATGCGGTGCGATTGTCGCTTCTAGCGTCTTATATGTACTTGTTTATCGTTGCTTAGAAATCATTCATGTAAACAATCACAGGCTATCATCACTATGTTGTCCGTATATTGCTTAATATGTTGTAATTGACATCTTTGATAATGGCTTATGTAAGCCGAAAGCTTAGATTGTATTAAAAATATGGATCAATATTGTTAATTTCTTTCTCCGTTCAATGATAATGTTATTAAACTTATCAGACGTTATGAAAAGAATTTACAAAAAATAAATAGACAACACTTGTCTATATTATTTAATGAAACGTGTCTGAATATATATATATATATATATATATATATATATATATATATATATATATATATATATATATATATCATTTCTTTTCATAACTATATCTATTTCAGTCTTCTCATATCTATCTATCTATCTATCTATCTATCTATTGATCTATTCCCGTGTTATTAAAATAATTCCTCCAAGGAAATATTTGAATTCACGTGATCGAGCAGCCAGTGCTTTCACCGAAATTTATGAAATCTTTTCTTAAATCAGTTTTTCAGGAAAACAGGCTTCTCAAATCCAGTAGCTGTTATTGGTCTTTTCAGTATTGATGGGGGTTTCCTTCCTATCCTTTTTGTTTGATATATTTTGGAAAATCATTATGTAATTATTTTCTGTTCAAGATATATGTGCAATCCAATTTAATTGTTGCTGCTGCTGAATATCCTCAAGTGATGCGGTCTCTATTATCTGGTACGTTTCGCTCGAAGCCATTTTCAACCATTGATCTGAGAAAGCTGTTGTATACAGCTGACAGTTGCTGTAATATCCGATATACACTGTAAAAAAATAATATAAAATCCCGTATTATAAGTTTCTAAATAAAAAAAAAAATCCGATATTATTATAGATTTATAAATATTCCTCTATTCATTAAGTATGTTTCTAAGAAAACGTCCCTATTATTATAAATTATAATTATAAACTCCACTATTAATTAATTATAAAAAAACCCTAAAAAAAAAAAAAAAAAATAGAAAAAACAAATAACCCAAAGAAACTCCGTTATTAATTATAATATTTTTTCAAAACTCTGCTATTAATTATTATAGATATGTAAAATCTCCGGTATTAATTAATTGTAGTTTATTAAAAAAAAAAAAGGACAGTATTAATTATCATAGATTTAAAAAAAAAAACAAAAAAAAAACTAAGGTATTAATGATCGTAGATTTATAAGAAAATATTTCCGCGATTAAGCAATTATTGGTTAAAAACCCCCAAAAAAAACATCGGTATTAATTAATTACAGATTTATAAAAAAAAACAAAAAATCCTGCAATAATCATTACAGATTCATAAAATATCCGATAATAACCAATTACAGATTTATAGAAACTCCGGTATTAATTGTTACAGATTTATAAAAAGTCCGGTATTAATTATTACATATTTATAAAACTCCGGCATTAATTATAGATGTCTAAAAACTCCGGAATTAGTTATCATTAGTTATTATAGATTTATAAAAATGTCCGTTATTATTTATTATAGATTTATACAAACTCCGGTATTAATAATTCAAGATTTATAAAAAATTTGATATTAATTATTATATGTTTATTAAAATTCTGGTATTATTAATTATAGATTTATAAAACTCCGATATTAATTATAGATTTATAAAAATTTCGGTATTAATTATTACATATTTATAAAACTCCGGTATTAATTATAGATTTATAAAATCTTCGGTATTAGTTATTATAGATTTATAAAAAGTCTGGTATTGCTTATACATTAAATTAAAAAAAAACAATCTTGTATTAATTATCGTTCTCCTCCAATACAACATTAATTCCCGTTGTCGCAACATTGAGACGCTGTGTAATAATAATTTTAAAAAAATAACGGATTTGACGTAATTCATAAATATTACCAATGATGTCGATGTCTAATGAAACGGCTCGGTTAACAACTTAAAGCTGTATATCATGTTAAAACCTTTTCTCTTTAATAATGAGATATTTTGGTATTTTTACTGGTTTTAAAACAGAAAGTAAGCGATAATTCATAATGGAATATTTCCTTTCTGGGGGGAAGGAAGAGAGATCATTGATAAAAAGGTGAGGTGCTTTATTTATTCTTCATCAAGCTGCCAAATATAGAATGAACAGTAAATCAATAACATTTCCACGCTGAAAAATAAGACTTTAAAATCTCAGCTACGGCTATGAACTGGATATTTTCACAGCACGTTACAAATATAAAACAACAGTAGTAGATTTTATTTGCATATATTTTATGTTTTTATGAAACAAAAACAGGTTATATAGACTTTTTATTTATAGGTTAAATTTTTAAATTAGTTAAACTTTATTTATAGGTTATATTTTTAAATTAGTTAAACTTTAGAGAATATATTTTTAAATTAGTTAAACTTTATAGGTTATATTTTTAAATTAATTAAACTTTATTTATAGATTATATTTTTAAATTAGTTAAACATTAGAGGTTATATTTTTAAATTTGTTTATTTTAGACTATATATATATATATATATATATATATATATATATATATATATATATAATAGCTGGTCCTCGTATTCGAAGATACCCATCAACTAGTGCAGCTAGACACTCTCTATTGCAGACGCTCGCTCGGGCACATTTGTGTTTGTCCAACATCTACACAGCCAGCCTGTGGTTTATATTGCAACTATGCTGAGCAGACCTTAGTTACAGTTTCTGGGAGGGAGCGTGTTATCTAGCATGGTCAACAATCCGAATAACGCCAGCACTCTCAAACCCTCGGTCACGATGACTTATGACTTCATGCTAGCACTGCTATCAACGGCACCCAAGAGTTCTGTCTACCCAATTTCACTCACAAGGCTTGGGTCAACGCGTAGTATGGTTTTCTGGCACTTTTCAAACGTGCCGCACGCTGGTATCGCCCCGCCCTTCCAGACCGATAACGTCAGGAAGTCTCCTTCTTGGCAAATCATATCTGTCTGTCTGTCTTCTCTCTCTCTCTCTCTCTCTCTCTCTCTATATATATATATATATATATATATATATATATATATATATATATATATATATATATATATATATATATATATATAAATAAAATATTCGTCCTTTGAATGCAGGTTCGAATCCTATCAAAGGACGAATATTTTCTATGAAAATTTCTCGGACATTCAGGCCGGTAAATGTTATTTAATACTGTTTATTATAAACAGAGCATTTACTTAAATACTTGTATCTATAAAAAGAACGTTAAACATAAAATGTCTTTAATAAATAAATTGTCGGACTTTATCCATTTCTTAATATATATATATATATATATATATATATATATGCGTGTGTGTGTAAACATGTGAAAACCTACCAAACTCCATCCGCAACATACTAGTAGAAAATATAAGTATGATAGTCTCATCTACATGTAAAAAATTAAAGATAATGGAAACACTAATAATAAAAAAGGTAAAGTTAACACTCAGTAACATTAACTATGAACACGGCCACAATGTACTGATTTTGGTTGAAAAATAAAAAAAAAATCACATATCTTTAGACACATAGATAAAAAACAGACATTCAGTTAAGAATAAAAATAAAAACTAAAGAAATATCCGAAAGCGATCGGCTATGCAAGACTTTTGGACAGTTTTTACACACTTTGTGTCCTGAAAAGTGAATACTTGTACGAACACAAGAGAAATTAAATAAAAAGCTTAGTCACAATACCTTACTCATTTTTTAACGAAAAGTCTCGTCAGCATTCGTAAGAATAAGATGAAAATTAAACCAGTCAATAGTTAATACTTACGTATAGTAATATCTAAAAAAAAAAGCCTGGTCTGTCAATAACGCTTAAATTTATTCTTGTATACTGACAAAGTAATTCTTTCTAAATTTGAATTCACAACAAATTTTGTGTGGGAATTAGTCGAAGAAATTTTAGGCTGAAAATTGTAAGACGTCTCTTGTTAAATTATCAATTACTTTTAAGTAATGACGTTATTTGATAATCTTTATTTAGTCATGTGAACGACATTTGTACAAAAAGTAGGTCATTATAAATTCTTATGTGAGGATGGGGTCCAAAATGTAAATTAATATCTTCTAAGTATGTCTATGAAATTAATATTTTCATAAATTTTCTCGCAGAACATAAATAAGCATTAGATGATAAACACATTGAATTATTAACATGTATCCTATCCGCTGCCATGTTAAACGTACGATAGAAAATTTGGCATCTAGTATTTACAAGTACTTAAAAGATTTGCTGCGCTATTCTATGTATAGCAGAATGAATTAAACTTTCATTGGTGTATGGGTTTAATGAATTCTACCTTTCCTTGGCAGTACATATATAACAACTATTATAGATTATTCTGTGGCTAGAAACATGGCCATCTTGAGCTTTCGTTCCCGTCTGGTAAACGTTCGGCTATTCGGAATTCTTAACTCTTTCCTCGATATCTGGAGCTGCCGACACAAAAGTAAATTAACGAAGACTCCACAAAAATACTTCTGAAACGATTTTCCTTTCTGTGTTTGCACTCTGGATATCGTCATGTGACAACATTGATATGGCCTAGCAGATTGCTACTGAAAACCTTCATTTCAAAAGTAGCCAAATTTCGGTATTTTTCCAGCACATCTGACGAGAACAACTCAACAACGTTGCCAAGCATTAAAATTGATTTTGCTAAAAATTAATACAACCGACATTTTGATATGGTTGTCTCTCGCCATTCTAACAGAACAACATGTGATTGAAGCGATATTAAAATTAATATAATATATTATCTTATAAATTAATATTATATATATATATATATATATATATATATATATATATATATATATATATATATATATATTTTAATATTATTAATATATTAATAATATTAAAATAATATTTTAATATTATATTATATATATTAAATTAATATTATTATATATATTAAATTAATATTATATTATATATATAATATTCCTATTATTAATATATTAATACTATTATAAATAATATTATTATTTATATTATATATATTAAATTAATATTATATATAAAATATTAATATTATTAATATATTAATAATATTATAAAGAATATTATTAATATATTATATATATATTAAATTAATATTTTATTATATATATAATATTAATATTATTGATATATTAATAATATTGTAAATAATATTAATATTATATTATATGTATTACATTAATATTATATTATATATATATATATAATATATTATTATTAATATATTAATAATAATATTATACATAATATTATTAATATTATATTATATATATTAAATTAATATAAATAATAAATTACATTAAAAACTAATGCAACCGACATTTTGACATGGTTGTTTCTCGCCATTCTAAGAGAAAACATGAGATTGAAGTTACATTAAGAAAACTGATAAAAAACTTAAAGGTCATTTTTGAAATTACCAAGTCATACAGATACTTCGAAGCTGAAATATTAGAGATTTTTTTAAATCATTTCACCCCAGGCAAGGCAATAAAGCAACTAAGACGAAGGGGTTGCTGAGTATTAGAGATTATGAGAAAAAGCAAACATTATTAATGTGAGCGAACAATAAAAGATCAGGAATTAAGAAGACAGGAGATAACGATTGACATTGCATTTAGAATTTTTGAAGATCAAATTGATTGAAAAGCAAGATGACGAAAGAGAGTCCCACAGACTAGAAATACGAGAAAAGGAACTATTAGTATAGAACTTAAGGTTACATCATTTTAACAGTAACACGTTGGGACCTAATTGCCAATCCAGTACTTTTTTCTACAATGATGTTGACCAAGTACAAGGCGCAAAAGTCACTCCAGGTAGAGGGTTACATGTTATGTTGATATATGGGGAAAAACGGTTGACCCTAGATATGAACAGGGTGTGGCGATCAGAGAAGCATTCACTTGGGAGTCGGTTCCAAAAGTCTTCAGTTTGTGAGAAGAAACTGCTCGAGTGGAAATTAGATCCCGTCAATGGGATGTGAAATGAATGAAGGTGATTCGCTACAATGTAACTGGCGTGGCGTGTTTCAGTCGGGAATGTTAGAACTGGTGGAACTAAGAAATGTAGCTAGTTTGAACACTTTCCATGGAAATAGAAATAGAGAAGAGAGAGTATTGCCACGTTTCGACTGAAGGAAAGGGTTTGTAGAGTGGAAAATGATTCATAACCCACAAGGACGAAGAGACTTCTTTGGACTTTATCGAGATTGGAAAGTAAAGACTAGCGCAAAAAATGAAGCAGATCCATTAAGCATAGCGACCAGTCTTCTATCACAATAGTGAAATAAGCCCTTTCTTAAATATGTCATGACGATGAAAAGTGGCTGGCATACAACAATGTTCAACGCAAAAGGCAGTGGAATGACAAGGACAAATCTTCACAACCGACCCCAAATTTTTAGCTCATGAAAGAAAGGGAATGATTTGAGTGTAGTGAGGTCGTAAAATATTCATTTAGAATTCTCGAAACTCAGTGAAAGAATAAATGCACATTTTTACGTCCAGCAGACGCAACGTGTCTATAAAAGTTTCGTCAAAAATCATATTGCTCTCATGAGTAGAAAAAATGTTGTTCTGCTCCATGGAAACGCAAGACTGCTTTCAGCAGAAAAATGTTCAGCAATAATAAAACAGGAAAAAAAAAATGTATTTTACCCTAAACGCAATATTCATTTTGGCCTTTTTTTTTTCGAATCTTGCTAAATATTTTCAAAAGGGAAAAGTTTCTCTCATGAAAACCAGATTCAAAATTATTCATATCAAAACCTGCTGAATTTTACTGGAAGGATATCGAAGAGTTACCGGATAAGTGACAGCAATCATTGAAAATAATTGACGAATATAGAATTGAATAAAATGTAATCGCACTTTATATTGGGAAGAAAGCAATGGATAAATTAAAACAAAAAAATATTTATGACTCAATCTAATTTAAAACGTATATTTTCGGCACCATCTCGATTAAAAAAAAAAGAAAATTTTGAAAGATAAATTATAAGGCAGACATATATTAATCTATCGTGAGAGTGGCATTGTTCTATTGTATCTAATACTTTTTCATCTTAGTATGGCACAAGGACAAACAGGGGGGACATCTGAGCAGAAAGACTTCAATTCTTTAATTTCGGCGGGCTTGATTGATTTAAAATCAGCGTTTGACATCATAACCTTTTGACTGGGACTCAAATAATACCACCTGATATCATCGGGAAACATAATTACATTATCCAAAATATTGCCAATTCATTAATACCAGCAGAACCAGTGAACATTCCATGGCTTTCGTATATGATTTTTCGATAAATCATGAAATCCTCAAGTTAATGACTGACTAAACTACTTCACAGTTTCACGCGTATAAAATCAACTAATAATACCCTAATGTATCGTTATACGAGGTGTCCATGAAGTTCGTGTCACTTTAAAAAAATTATAACTTTATTTGAATTTGCAATAGAAATAATTTGTAAAAAGAATTAGAAAGAAGTAAATCTATATTTTGTAAGGTTTTATTGAAGTTTTATTTAAGTTTCCACATGTCCTCCATCATTAGCAATACAAAGGGTAATACGATTTTGCAGTTCACGGAATACATTTGTCAATTGATTTACAGTAATGCCTGAAATCACATTAGTTATTTTAGCTATACTTAAAACTAGGTACATTAAACTTTATAACATTTTTTACAGATTATTTCTATCGTAAATACAAATAAAGTTATAATGTTTTTAAAGTGCATACGAACTTTATGGACACCCTGGCTTAACAACTCTAACAAAATACGTCAACACGTAACATAAGTATGAATACAGGTCATTATTTAAAGAAGTAAGAGGGTACAAATGAAAAGATTCATAATTGACGCGGTTTTCTATTTCTCTGAAGCCAATATTAACTACATGAGAGAATTATCTCTTTCTTTCTTTCTTTGTGTCTATTAAACATAATTTTCTATTCTTAATGAAAAGTTACAAATATATATTTTCACCATCCTACTCTGCAATTGCAGCGAAATGGTCCATGATTTATGTGTTGCAATGGCGGGACATAACGCAAGTGCTAGCTAAATATCTAACTAACTGAGTGACGACCTGGATAATAAAATGATTTTCTAAGTGTAACTAACAATGTAAACACTCATAACTATAGCGGAGGAATTTTTCAGTTGTTGGAAGTATCCACGTCATGACCATGGGTGAGTGTCTGAAACCGATATGCCAGATCAGTACTGATAATATTACATACCCTTCTTTGCATGTCGACGAGGACACTAGATCAAATATGACCGCCACACAAGGACGAATGGTGCATTTATAAACGTGTAAGAAGGAATCTAGAGAGAAGATTTTTCTGACACGATACAGTGAACTGACCTTCCAAGGAACAGACCTAGACTTTAATATCATCATTCCACTTCAGGTCAGTGGAAAGCGTGAGACTAAGATGACGCAAAAAGTCGCGATGCCAGTTATCTCCTGTTAATTTCCCCCTGAAAGTTCTCCACTGCTTTAACCGAGTATTGAACTCACATTCTTTGGATCCTGTCACTGGATCTAACCAACGTCTTTATCCACTGTGCCATGTGTCCTTTCAGAGTGAAATTAACAGGAGATAACTCCTAGCTGGCATCCATTAAACATGGCACGTGGAACTAGAACAGTCTACCCCAGTGAGCGAAATAAAGGGTTCAGTTCAACATTCCAACCACTTGAAGAAGGCCGAAGCATTCAACGGGCGAAACATTGTAATAAATATGGCGACAAACAGTCCGAATAATGTAAATAGTGTACATAATACCTCATCTCAGAAATATAGACAGATACAAAAGTATAAGTATATGAACGCTATATAATTATTTAATACACGTATTATATTCTTCCACAATGGCAGTGTGTGTGTGTGTGTGTGTGTGTGTGTGTCTGTGTGTACGCGCGTGCGCGCCTCAACCTGAACATTCGGAATTGTCTCGCTAAGCGTATTTTCATCGATAAAAGTGGTTATGCACGATCTGGAGCGAGGGTAAAAATATAAACGAGTCTCAAATGATATTACGTCAAGTGATTATTCAGTGGTGATGTTAGAGGCCTGTAGGGTAACACCGCCGATGTGGAAAATGGAAACACATCGAGCGGTGGATGGGAAAGCAAAGATAGGTGGGGGGGGGAAGAAGGGTGTCGGATATTGAATATTTATAGCAAGAGTTTGCACAGAATGGATAGTGAACTAATACGGAACAGGCCGAGTGTGGTCGACAATTAGAGATACATGTACGACCCTGCGACGCATGCCGATACATAAAGTTGGATACAAACGGACTATAAAAGTTCTATTTATTTGTTGGTTTGACTTTTGAAAAGTATGTGCGTATGTTTATCATGTCATACTTTATGTTAATCCTTCTTTATGGCATTATCTATCTATCTATCTATCTATCTATCTATCTATCTATCTATCTCATTCTATTCCTATCTATCTACCTCACTATATTCGTATCTATCTGTCTATCTATCTCAGTCTATTCGTATCTATCTATCTATCTATCTATCTATTCATTATCTATCTATCTATCTATCTATCTATCTATCTATCTCACTATATTCGTATCTATCTCTCTATCTATCTCAGTCTATTCGGATCTATCTATCTATCTATCTATCTATCATCTATCTATCTTTTCCTATCTATCTACCTCATTATATTCGTATCTATCTGTCTATCTCTCTCAGTCTATTCGTATCTATCTATCTATCTATCTATCTATCTATCTATCTATCTATCTATCTATCATTCTATTCCTATCTATCTACCTCACTATATTCGTATCTATCTCTCTGTCTATCTCAGTCTATTCGTATCTTTCTATCTATCTATCTATCTATCTATCTATCTATTCATCTATCATCTATCTCACTATATTCATATCTATCTATCTCACTATATTCATATCTATCTATCTATTCATTCATCTATCATCATTCTATCTATCTATCTCATTCTATTCCATTCATTCATTCTATCTATCTCACTATATTCATATCTGTCTATCTATCTTAGTCTATTCGTATCTATCTATCTATCTATCTATCTTTATATATATATATATATTATTCTATTCCTATTCATTCTATCTATCTATCTATCTATCTATCTATCTATCTATCTATCTCACTGTATTCATATCTATCTATCTCACTATATTCATATCTATCTATCTATCTATCTATCTATCTATCTATCTATCTATCTATCTATCTCACTATATTCATATCTATCTCACTATATTCATATCTATCTATCTATCTATCTATCTATCTATCTATCTATCTCATTCTATTCCTATCTATCTATCTATCTATCTATCTATCTATCTCACTATATTCATATCTGTCTATCTATCTTAGTCTATTCGTATCTATCTATCTATCTATCTATCTATCTATCTATCTATCTATCTATCTATCTATCTTTATATATATATATATATATTATTCTATTCCTATCTATCTATCTATCTATCTATCTATCTATCCTTTATTGAATTAGCTTTAACTTATTCCTAAACGTTTTTTTTTTGCTCCTTTTCCAAATTCTTTCTTTCTTTCCCATTCCTTTTCTTTTTTTTTTTGGTTAATTTTCGATCCTTTTCCCATTCTTTTTAATTCTTCTCTCTATCGCTCACGCATGTGTTTCCGTTAGAACATATTTCCATTTTCTTTACTTTTCATTACTTAATCACTCAGGGTTTTTTTTTTTCACAAATTCCTATTATTTCCCATTATTTCCCATTATCTTTTTCGCTTTCCTTTCTTCCGCTTGTTGTGTTTTCCTTATTTGTCGGTGAATACAACAATCCCCAAATCAAAGTAACAAGATAAACCATTCGAAAATAATACTATTTTCATGTTAAGAAATGGAAAAATGCCAGGGACCTGACCGATAGTTTGGAGAATTGTAGCATATGAAAGTAGTGACAGCAATAACTGGCTCAATTATAACCACGATAGAAACATAATAGAGATTAAAGTGATGAATTGAACATGTCCAAGCTATATTGCCTATTGAGATACCGAGGAAGGTGCTGGAGAATAGAGGAGAAAATGCTGTCACTCAACCTCTAGCGATAACAACCAGGTATCTGCAAATGTATGAAATATGAATAATTGGCTTATATAAAAACGTAAGGATATATATATATATATATATATATATATATATATATATATATATATATATATATATATATATATATATATATATAAAAAAAAAGAACAATATAATCCGGTGTTCTTATTGATATTTTTATTTTTTATTTTTACAAAGCAGTGCTCAACGTAAATTTACAGAGCATAAATATTATAAATTAACTGATTCAAAATATGGTTTCAGTTAATATATATATATATATATATATATATATATATATATATATATATATATCAATATCACCATAAAGTCAGACATGTAGATAAGAGTAAATTACAGCTTCTTAAGTATTACATTCTTTTGATGATGTAAATATTTTTTAAAAGGGATTTCTGGAAGCCCATGCCTTAACGAAATGCAAAAAAAAATGTTCTCCCGAGTACAGCCCACAACTTTCGAATGGTCTTATCTAGGTAAAAATATGTATATTGTTTATTTTTTTTAATTGCTCAGTGGAAAATGTCATGATGCCATTTCTGACCTTAGGTCTCTGGACGGGCCCCGGAAAGAAATGTGTACACACCAGAAATCCAAGTAAATAAAACAACAACGACAATAATAATAATAATAATAATAATAATAATAATAATAATAATAATGATTGTCACTTTAAACTTCTAAAATTAAACGACTTATTTCAAATTATTATTTTAAATTATTTCAGTTCGAAGATTAATTATTGTTAGCAGATAATTAGTAATTTTGAGTATATTGAATTTATAAAATAGCAAAATCTTAACATTTTGGCGTTTATGAATAAATTATTACTATTATTATTATTATTACTATTATTATTATTTTTATTATTATTATTAATGTCAATATCAATAATAATAATAACATTGGAACACAAAATCAGTTAATGAAGTATTGTCAAGGCGCAAGTAAGTGCTAAGTAAAAAAATAATAACTATGAATCAAGTAGATCTATAGAATAATAATAATAATAATAATAATAAATGACAAAAATGTGGCACATGGGAACATCAACAACCCCTGTTGTAGTTAGAGCCCTCGGATTGATTGGAAAAGATCAGTAGAAAATGTCATGAATCCATTTATGAACTTAAGTCTCTGGTTGGGACCCGGAAGGAAATGTGTGTATAACAGAAATCAAAGAAAATAATAATAATAATAATAAAAGCTTCTCACTTGCTATGGCATGCATCATCCCAAAGCTGATGTTGATCGTCTGTATGTGCCCAGATCCGAAGGAGGCAGAGGATTAGTTCAACTAGAACTGTCCTACAAAACTACAACAATTGGCTTCCAAAGATATTTGGAAACTACAGAAGACTGGATGATGGTATGCGTCAAGGAACATGAAAGTAGTAAGCGTCTCTACTCCGTAATGAAAGAAGCCAACAAATTCAAAATGGAGTTTCAAATAGGCGTAGAGATGCAACTACAGCACAATACACCGGTTGAAACTGCAAAATACCTAAAAAAGACTGTAAAGACGAATGCAACCGACCAGTTACAGAAGCGATGGCAAGATAAACCGCTTCATGGCCAATACTCCGCCCGTACCAAACAAGATGACGTAGACAAAACCCGTACCCATCAGTGGCTACGTAGTGCAGGGTTGAAAGTGGAAACTGAAGGTTTTATCCTGCTGCGCACGACCAATGCTTGCTAACTAGGAATTATCAAGCACATATACTAAAATAGTGTGTCAGCCCAAAATGCAGATTCTGTGATAAATATCCAGAAACGATTGATCATCTTGTACGGTGTTGGCACCCACTGAATATAAAACCCGACATGACAGAGTGGGCCAATATCTGCACTGGAAAATCTGAAACTTCTACGGGAAGAAAACTGAAAGAAACTGGTATGAACACCACCCAGACCCGGTTACGGAGATAGGACCTGTTATAATTCTATGGGATTAAACAATACACACTGAGAGAACAATCAAGGCCAACCGCCCAGATATTGTTATTAAAGACCACAAACAAAAACGGTGCCTCCTTATTGATATGGCAGTCCCTGCTGACTGCAATGAATCTTTAAAGATATTCAAAAAGTTGTCAAAGTACAAGGACCTTGAAATAGAAATCTCGAAAATGTGGCATATGGGAACATCAACAATCCCTGTTGTAGTTGGAGCCCTAGGACTGGTTGGAAAAGAATGCAGTAGACTAATTGAAGGGATTCCTGGAAGTCCATGCCTCAAGGAGATACAAAAATTGTTCTGACAAGTACAGCCCACACCTACGAAGGGCTTTATCTATGTAATTTTTTTTTGTCAGTGGAAAGTGCCATGACGCCATTTCTAACCTTAGGTCCCTGGGCGGGACCCGGAAGGAAATGTGTAAACGCCAGAAATCAAAGAAATTAAAAATAATAATAATAATAATAATAATAATAGTAAATACGACTCAATGGCAAATTATCCCTTAGAAAACATTGGGAACTATTCAGGGAGTATTGCTTAGAGTGCGCAGGGTATTTCTACGAGCATTGATTACTGCCAGTAGCCGAGAATGAGCATGTGAAACTCATGTGGGATACAGCCATCTTTACTGACAAGCGCATGGAGAGCAATCGCCCTGATATCTCACTTGTACACGAGGCCAACCACGAATGGACCCTGTTAAAATTTTCAGTACCTTGCGTTAAGAATATCGTGAAGGCGAAGCAGGAGACAAATAAACAGTTACCAAGACCTGGCATGGCAAATCAGGGAAATGTTTCGAGCAGCGGCTAAAGATTTCCCTTTTATGATTTGCACAAGTATCATTCGAGGAATCTTCTTTGTAAGACGCGTTGCGGTCACCTGACATCATTTTGGGCGAATGTAAGTAGCAGCGACGGTTCGAAAAGCTCATAGTATTTACTCGTCCCCACCACGATGATGTGAATGGACACAAGGTCGGTTTAATGTGGGGGCACCCGACTGCGTAAAACCCGGCGTAAAAATTGCCCAGTCCTATTTCCGTAATCGTCGGCTGCGCTGGTATTGGTATTACTACCACCCCCACCACCTTTAGTGCAATGAAGTGGTGGTTGGGGGGGGGTACTACCGCCAGCAACTGCACCTGTCAATATATTTTCCCCTGCGCTCTGACCCCAGACATCGACCCAACTGATTTGCGCTTTGCCTGAATACAGAATCGCAACTGAGAGATAATAACATTACAGCTCATGTGTCTCTGAACATGTTGTGTCTCTGAACTGGAAGTAGGGTTTAATATATAATCATCACCCGGCCGATATATCAAAGACCGCAGAGGATATTAAATAATGATAATAATCGTCCTCATTTTTGTTTATCACAACGTTTCTGCCGTTGTACGCTCCGGCCTTCTTCAGGTGGTTGGAACGTCGAACTGAACCCTTTATTTCTTTAGGAATGAAAAAAAAAGAGAACTAAATTGTTACGTAGTATCAGTCCTCCTATTTAGCAGTAAATACTGGACAATCTCCTCATGGATGAAGAAGAAACTTGAAGCAACAAAAATATGGTTCTACAGGAGGATGCTGAAAATACCATGGACCGAACATGTGGGCAACATCAAAGTCTTAGCTAAAACGGAAACAAAAAGTGCCCTGATACTTTACATAAAAAAAGAGACAGTTGAAATTTCTAGGTCACATTATGAGGAAAGGTTAGGGGTTAGGTGATATGGTAAAAGCATAAACTTTACTAAAGGCTTCAAAGGACAGGAAGTTGTGGAGAGTCATTATCGTCAACGTACTCAAGGGACACGGAACATAGAAGAAGAATGGGGATATCGATAGCAAGAAATTAGAAAAATCGAATTAGAAAAAAGTAAGACATAATGAGGAAAGAGGCCTTGGAGAATCTGACACCCCCAACATATAATGGCGGCAAGAGAGACATAGGGAAACAACGAGTAAGACACCTAATGAGTTTGTGTAAATAGCTAGCAGAAGAGAAAGTAGGGACATAGTAAAAAGAGAAATATTACATAGAGCAACAAAGCATAGGAAATTGTGGAGAACCATGATCGCACGTATTAAGTAACAACTTATGAATTATTATTCATTAAGTAAAATTTATGATTTATTCAAGAGTTTGACCGTGGTTGTGTGAAAACGCGTCTAAGGCAGGTATTGTTTTCTTGCAAGCGTAGAGCGTCCTGGGTATGACGATAAACTACATCCGCGCCCTGGGTAAGACGATAAACTACATCCGCATCCCGGGTATGACGATAAACTACGTCCAACAGCAAGGCCTCAGATAATGTTTTCGTAAAAATAATGTTGCCAGCTATACGTTTTTGAAAAAAATAATGTTGCAAGCTATACGTTTTTGAAACAATAATGTTGCCAGCTATACGTTTTGAAAAAATGTTGCCAGCTATA